TATGATGATGATTTCCTTGGGGTCTTCTTCCCCTCGTAAGAGATAGATGACACATCCTCTCTTTTCTTCTTCAACAAGCCCGAAGATCCGGGCGAGGCAGCAACACGGGCAATCTTCCCGGTTCTCAATCCATCTTCGATAGTCTCACCTACCTTGACTATCTCAGCAAATTTTGCTCCAACGAGCAACATGATTTTGTCATAATATTCGGGCTCTTGCACCCGCACAAACACCTCGATAATTTCCTTTTCTGACATAGGAGGTCTAACTCTAGCTGCCTCCTTTCGCCATCTATATGCGAATTCTCTGTAACTTTCGGTCGACTTCTGCTTCATCTTCTCCAATGAGTAGCGATCAGGAACGATCTCTACATTGTAGGCGAATCGTTCTATGAAGTCCTTAGCTAAAGCATTCCAGCTAGACCACTGTCTCGTTTCATGGGACGTAAACCATTCTAGAGCCTCTCCGCTCAGACTTCGACTAAAAAGCCGCATTAACAAAGCTTCGTCTCTCCCAACTCCCACGAGTTGGTCACAGTAGGCCCTCAGGTGTGCTAATGGGTTCCCCGTTCCTCCGAAGTTATCAAATTTCGGCACCTTGAACACTTCCGGGAGGTCCAAATTCGGATGAATGCACAGGTCTTCGTAACTCAACCCGGCTACCTCAGGAATGCAGTTCAGCTCCTTCATGACTTTTCTAATTTCCTCCTTCATATCTATCTTGGCGGTCTCTTCCTTTGACCTCCACTCTCTCTCCCTCTCCTCATAGTGGTCGAGCACCGAACCATGGGCGTCATACTCGTTGGGGATGGGTATTTGAAAGGTGGCTTTTTGGGGTAGTAGTGGAGCAATGGAGGGACTTTGGGCATTTTGAGTGGTTTGGTAATTTTGAGGGAAAGTCTGGGGGTTGGTATGTTGATTTTGGTAATGGAGGGAAATGTGCGGGCGGTTAACATTTTGGCTTTGAGGGGGTAGGCCAGTTTGGTGGTTTGCATTGGGGAAATGGAGTGCTTCTTGGAGATTGGTATTTGAGGAGGAGGTGGTGTTTGATAAGAGGCTGAGGCGTAATGGGGGTTTTGGGTGGTAAGGTCAATGATGGAAGGATTATGAGCAGTACTTAAAGGCGGATTCTGAGCTTGTTCCACGTTAGGAGGGGGGATTTGAGTTGGAGATCTTCCGTCTGGTTAAGTGTTGACAGCAAAAATCGGAGGAGGCAAATCTTGTTTTCTCTGCATCTCGACCCTCATCTCAGCAATTTGTTGCATCAACTGCACGATCAATTCATTCTGATCAGCAAGGGCGGGTTGAGCCACTACGACATCAGTAAGGCTGGTTTCTTCGTTGTTATCACCCATTGCTGCTTGTGAACTTTTATTGGGGAAGGAATCTGTAGGACCTTTAGATCTAGTGAAATAAGGATGATCGGCCAGCTTATCGACACAGACCAGTTCTAATTACCTGTTGAGAAAAACAACTCAAAGGCAAATCTGTTAGTATTAGTTCCGGACGAATAATGCAAGATATCACATAGAAGGCATATAAACACATAAGAGTTGCTTCGTTTGAGAACACGTTAACCCACGAGTTATGAGGACTAATTTTTTGAACAAGCAGGAATTTGCTCATTTTATTTTGGGTCTAGTGACTTAGAAAGGCTAAATTGCGTTTAGCTAAGGTCCTCTTGCTGCATCTTCTGGCATCTGTTGATCTGAACTCAATGTTTCCTTATAGAATGAAAAGGGGAAAAGAAATTTTTTTAAAAGATAGGGGCCGAGCCTTGAAAGGCTGCCTACGTATCTCCCAAGGAGAATTCAGGCCCTACGTAGTTCAAATACACAAGGGAAATTCTCATCTTCATTCATTCATTTGATTGATTACAAGGAAAGTGAAAA